TGAAGCTGCAAACGACAGGTATAGTTTGAAGTTACGACAAACTGGTGGAGTTAAGACTGAAGGCCCAATTATGGATAAGCGCTGAGGTTCTGTTTATGGAAGGAATCAGGGGAAAGAACCTGTTACGTTACACTGTGTTGAGTAAACCACGTTTTGTATTTTCAGTATGATGAAAACAATGTAAACATTCATTCATAGATACATACATACACATATTTAGTCATGTTAAACGCTAGCTATTTCCTTTGGGCAGAGTATATAGCTTCTTCAGTAAGTTTTTCGAATGGTCCCAGTCTTCCACTAGTTTAATGAGCTGGATCATCTGGATTTCATACCCAACGTATAAGAGCTACTTCGTCCTAAGTCAGTGATCCCCAAAGATCCAATAGGATTTTTCATTTGTATTCATGTCTGCAAGATGATGCATCGCTCTGGGGTGCTAAAATGAAACCTCTGGGGAAGAGGTGACTGTGTCAAGCTCACCGAAGAAAACTCTGATTAGGCCAAGCCTCACATGGCCATTATCTGGAACCCCATTCGGTAAACAGACGTTCTGTCCATGATGCCTGGCAAGCGTGATCAAGAACCAAAATCATCTGCTAAGATCGAATATAATTAAAAGCACACACACAGAAATGCGACAGTCCTCTGCATACGGCTCGAGTCAGACTACATCGCAGGATTGGCGGATGACATCTAGATTTTAGCAGTGACAAATTGGTAGCAATGCGGCTGCAGGCACAAAATTAGAAGACCTCTGCTCAGACGCAACGAAGGCTGAAGGGGATATATGAAAGCTGTCATACAACATCACAGGAGACAGACGAGCGTGATGATTCTCATTAATTATGAAGAAGGATCAGTCAATTATTGTTGTTGTCCATTCAGTTTATGTCAGACTAAGAGTTTCTGAAAATTTTATTTATTTACAGGCTAGTATTTATTTTTCAGAAAGGCAGCTATATGCCAACCTTCCGGAAATCCTTACCGAGATAGCGAAAGAAGAAATTAATAAACTTTCGTTTCGACCGCCTGAATGCTCAGTTCTCTACCTTCCAATGGTGAGTCTCGGTTCT